AAAAAAAAAAAAAAAAAAAAAAATCTAAAACTGGATATGACTTTGGAATCCAGTGGTAAAAAGCTGATCAGTAACTTCTGGGTGGGAAAGGTAAGATCACTAACAGAAAGATATGCTATTTTAAGATATGCTTCTCTGTCTTCTGGTAGTAGTTTCAAGTTCACCTTTGATTCCTAGTTATAGTTCTTTCTGGTGCTAATCACATCTGTATTTTTTACCTTTATTATTACACTGCATTATGATCTTCAAAATGTTTCATTTTTCTCTGCTACTATTATGCTTTGGGGCTTCCTAGCATTTTAAAGATTACTATAGAAATTTTAATTTCGTTTCTAAATATTAAATGTAGTTCTGTGTAGCTGTCTTTTAAAGAAGAATCTGAAAGTTTTTATAAATTTTATCTTGAAATTAGTTTATTCATTATGTTTAATTTTAGGAAGTGGCACTCTTGCAGAACATTCTGAAAATGTGCATATTTCAGGAATGTCAACTGGTAAGTCATTTTTTGTAATGTTTAAATTTCATGCATGACTTACATGGTAAATATTGGAAGCTACCTGGTATCTTACAAAGTGCTATTTGGCTATAAGAACTATTACTGCTTTCTGCAGCATGTAATAAGGAATGAAGTAACTGGAACACAGAGACATTCTCATAAGATAAAAATGATATTTGTATGCCCATGGATTGATTATACTTTTCCAAACATTCTGCATAATCATTTTTTATATAAACACTTAACCAAGAGAAAAGTTAAGCACAAGTTCAATTAGTATTTTCTTTCCATACGAAGTTATGTGAAATGAAAATCACTAAAATGTAATTTTGAATGCTATCCCTGGAATTCAGAGTTTAGCAATTAAACGTTGTGCTTGATTTTTAGATTAGAGTACTGCTCTACATAAAACTGTTGTACTTGAGTGCTCAGTTTATTTGCTCCTAAATGCAAGCCAAGAATATACTTATGTCCATGAAATTCAGAAACTTGTTGAGGTAAATGCATTTTTTCACTCATCTATGAGTTTATAACTTAATTACTTAAAGGTCCCTTTCCAATTAAATTTCCATTCTTAGATGACTTCCATCCACAACTCTGTTACCATATTTGCTATCAACTACAGTAATTGGAAAATGAGGAAATATTTATTTTTTGCCTGCACTGAAAAAGTTTGTTACTATCAATGACTAATTATTAACTAAGATTTATTTCCCTATATTCTTGTTTTATGTGATTAAAAAATTGTGCTTAGTGTATTTGTCAATCTATTGATTTGATTACAAATCTTAATATTGGATTTTTCTTCACTCTTATTTTGTGTCTGACTTCATATTCAGAAAGTTAGCTTGCCACATACCTACGGGTCAGGATGCGCTGATCAAACACATCAGCAAGCCTGGCTTTCCTGCAAATAGTGCCTCTGTAGTCTATGTTAATTCTTTCACATTTGGATTTTACTTTTTGCATATGCATACAAGTGGCACATAATTATATACCTGATGTAAAACTAAGGTTATTCTCAAGATGACCTTGTATCTTTTAACTTTGTACTTGGAATAACTAATGAGAAATGATGATACTTTTCCAAGTTACGCGGTATCAAGTGAGATTGTTTTCATGCATTTCAATTTATACAGCTAAATGGTTGTCTAATCAGTGGTTTTCAAGATTTTTGGTCTAGGAACCAAAATTATGGGGGACCATTAGTCTTTTAGGGCTGCCAAAACAGAAATGCTTATGAGTGGCATTCATGACGTGTACTGATTTCCTCACAGTTCAGGAGGCTAACACTGGGTAGGGTGGTTCCTGCAGAGCCTGTCCTGGCCTAGAGGGGACCACCTCACTGTGGCCTCACTGACCATTCTATGAGCTCAGAGAAAGTGGAGGAGGCTGTGTCTTTCTCTTGTGTAGACGCTGGTTCTGGTAGGTGGGAACCTACTTTGATTTATCCTCAGTTACCTCCTTACTCTGTATCCATTGCAGTTTTTTTTTTTAATAATCTGTTTCCAAATACTGTCACTTTGGGAGTTAGGTCTTCAGCATATAAATTTTGACAGGGAGTAAATTCATAACATGACTTGAAGAGTTTCTGCTTATGTAGGGCTGTCACTACCATATTTACTGTATTAAATCCTGAGCTGAAACCATTTACATTTAAAGTGATTATTCATGTAGTAGATTAGTAGCAACTGTATTTGTACCTTTCTCTTTGCTTTATTTTCTTTTTTCCTTTTTCTGCCTTCTCTTGTTTTAAATATTGTATATTATTCACTTTAAAAAAGAAATAAAACAAAAGTTATCTTAAAACTTACAAGTTCATTGTAAAGTAGCAGTGATAAACCAGTTGCAAGTTATGTCAGTGACACATCTTCAATAAAGGATATCATTATTTGTAATTTTATGGTCTTTAATGATTAACTTTAGAAAAGAGCTGGATTCTCACAACTGTTTTAACATGTGTCATTTGCAGCATGTTTTGTTTGACATACGTAAAGACAATCCAGCTGTTGGGTAATTGGAAAGGAAAGAGTGTTTTAATGACATTTCCAGGTAGTTGTGAATTTTCTTTTGTGATACTGTACCAAAATTCAACAAGTGGTAATTAAAAGGTCCATTGCCAAGTGGAATCTGAAACCAGATCAGTGAACTTTTTGTGCTCTGTTACACTTAAAACCCACTTGGCCTATTTTCTTCTTGTCTAATGATTTTATAATATGCATTAATCATTTGCAAAATACCGATTTGCTGAGTCAGGCAGATTAGTATGGACTGTGCAAAGCAATAAATGTTGGATAGATCCAATATCTGCTCAAATTCTGAATTTTGTACCCTCTCAATATTAGATTATACTTTTTATCTATTTAATCTACTGGGTTCTTGTTGATCATTAACATGATTTAAATTCCTATTTGAAAAATCAGAAATTCACTTTAAATTATATAAAAGATGTTTTATAATTTTAAACTTTTGTCCCTCACTTATGAATTTCAGACATCTGTTTAGAAATATGTATTAGTTTGCTAGGGCTCCATGACAGCACCACAGAAAAGTAACATAAATGTATTCACTCGCAATTCTGGAAGCTGAAAGTGTAAGATCAGGCTGTCAGAGGCTTTGGCTTCTTTGCCTTCTCTTTGTCTTGTAGCTGACATCTTCTTACTATGCTTCCCCTGGCCTTCTCTCTTACCTGTGTCCTGATCTCTCCTCTAAGGACCCCACTCATGTTGGACGAGGGCCCACTGATGTGGCCTCATCTTAACCTCCCCCATTAAAAGCCCTCTCTCCAATCAGAGTACTGGTATCAAGACTTTGACATGGGACTTTCGAGGGTGACATAGTTCAGCTAGTAACAAAATGTTTGCTTTAATTAAGTATATGTAGAAACAGTAAAGCTGGATTCAGAATGTGGCTCAGTGGTAGACTGCTTTCTTGGCACATGAGTCCCAGGGTTGAATCCCCACCACTGGAAAAACAAAAAACAAAATATCATTTAAGAAGTCAGTGAAACCTTATTTTCTGATGGCCACTCTTACAAATCATTCTGTCGAGTGAAAAGAATAATTCATGAAGTTTATTCCAGTTACACCATCTTTTAAAATGGATGCTATCTCAGAGGTGGTTTTGTGTAGAGATTTATTGTATTTTTTTCTTTAGCTGGTGTGGAGCTGTAAGCATAATGTTTAATATGGTACATGCAGATTATCCCTTATCTGAAATGTAAGATTTTGAATTTTTTGAACTTTGGAATGTTACATGTACTTTACTAATTGAGTACCTTTGATCCAAAAATATGAAATCCAAAATGCTTAAAATACAAAACTTTTTGAGCATCATGTCACACTCAAGAACTTTTAGATTTTGTATGTCAGCTTTATAATTTTGCCTGAAGAAGTGAGGGTTCCTTCACTGCCAGTGTACCTGGGAACCAGACTATGGGAGAATAGGTGAGTAGGGTCTGCTTTCTTCCTGAGACCAGCCAGCATAGAAATGCTGGGCGCCTGCTCTCCCTCCTCTGCTGCTCTGTGTGCCAGTGCTCAGGGCCCTGCTGCGCTCACCTGTACTCTGGGAAGTCTGCTGACAACTTCAGCAGTGATGTAACTTTTCCACAGTTGGTCAGCAGGTAATTGATTGTCTAAACCAAGGCGCTTTGAGAGTGAGAACATGCTATTTTTAAATTATATTGTCACCAGTGACAAAACCAGGAATGTCAGGCAAATCAGAAGTAGTCCTATCTTTAGTGACTTCATTTTACTCTGCATGTGTTAAAGCACTTGGTTAGGCCCTTGTGTCAAGAAGGCAGAAGTAAACACTGAGTAAAATACTCTTGTTTCACGGAGCCTGCTCGATGGAGGATTAAGAATGTGCAAATGCACCTGCAGTGTGGTCTTAATGCAGTAAACCCTCTGGTGATAATGATCAGATTAAACTAGATTACAGATTTATAAAAAGTGTAGTTACAATGCCTAGTGAATGATTTAATATTAATTTAATATTTTGGATGACTTAATATTTTGTTATTTTCCTAAGACGAATCCTAAGGGCTTCATTTTGTTTACTCTGGCAATTTGGGGGAAATTTATTAATTTCTGATTGATTATATAGTTTGGGTTCCCATCTTTGAAACGTATTGTTCTGTTCTGTTCACTCCTGTCCTCTTCCTCCTTAAGTTCTTGCCAAGAGAAAGAAGCCTACCCTTTTTCTGGTTGTTATGCTGCAGATTGGAATAAGAAATCTTAATTGTCAAAAATGATATCTACTGATTATGAAATGGAAAAGGACTTATTTTTAATATTTTTCTTTATAGCTTTTTGTGGGCCAGAATTTTAAATCCTCTTCCACAGGAGAGAAATGAGAAACGACAAATGGTGTTTTGTAAATCTAGTGTGTAAAAATCATGAGATTATAGAAACTATCAAAATAATTTAATTGTGCCGGGCGTGGTGGTGCACGCCTATAATCCCAGCCCTGGGAGGCTGAGGCAGGAGGATTACTGTGAGTTCGAGACCATCCTGGGCTACATAGTGAGTTCCAGCTCAGTCTCAACTACATAGTGAGACCCTGTCTCAAAAAAAAAACCAAACAAACAAAAAAAGAATTTGTGTTTATGGGAGTAGGGTGATTATTTTAATGTTTAAAAAATAAGTCTAAATGACACATCTTTTTTTAAATGTTCTAAATGTTTTAAATAGCTAAATTATTACTTATATGCTGCATGGAATTAAACATTTTAGGCTGGTTGATTTATATGAAGACCTTTACATACATTAACAGATATATTTGATTTTTTTAGATGCATCTGTTTTATTACCCTGTAATCTATATTGATTTAAATCAGTACTTGATTATGCTCTCTAATCTTAATTACTTCTAAATGACATTTATTTGTTTTCACAAATTCTGTTTATACATTATAAAAGTTTCATTAAACATTTAGAAAAACTTTGAAAGCATTAACCCTACCCTCTTTAGTTACTAATGTAATTTTGTTTGTCATC